AAACAAATTGTCATTGAAATAAATAAAAAAGCCCATCATAAATCTGCAATAATGTCTTGCGATGCACTTAATCTTCCTTTGATCGAACGGAAATTAGATTAGCCACTGATTGCTGCTTAAAGGCGCGCCAATAATAAAGGCGCTCTGAAAGCACGCATTACTTTGGATGCCGTCCGACACATTAATTTCTCTCAATTAGCTTTTGAGTAGCACGACACGGCAATGGCGTGAATGTACATGCGAAATAAAAACCTCGACATTAAAATGTCGATCAGCACTCGGCATAAGCGGTTCTGATATTTATTATGCATATATATATATATATATATATATATATATATATAACGCCTCGTAATTAAATTTAGTTTACAATGTCGAGGCGTTAACTCATTTCTGCGAATTCTCACAAAAAAAAAATTATTACCGTAGCTGAATTTTACGATAATTATATAATATTTGCTATCGTATATAACTATAATATTTTTAAGGCATAATTTTAATAGAAAATTTCCTATTAAATTATAATTAAAAATATGAATTACCTAGCTAAAATTTTGGCAGATGCATCTGTCAAAATTAAATGGTAATTAAATTTCAATTGTAATGTAAGAGCACATCTAAATTTTGACTATTTAAATTTTTTTAACTATTTTTTTCGGTACATTTTTAATATTTAAAGTTGCTTCAGATGGAAATAAAATTAAAAAGCGATAGCAAGTCCCCGGCAAAGTTTTGTTTCCTTCGATCACAAAACGCGGTGAAATCTGTTTTTCTTTTTTCCGTCTTGAAAGTCCCCGACGATAATAAATTGCATGCTATCAGGAACGTACACGTGGTGCACCGGAAATTCTTTTTATTCGCCGTGACTATATATATATATATATATATATATATATGTATATATATATATATATATATATATATATATATATATATATATTTATATATTATATATTTATATTATTTATAATGTATATATGTATTATATATTATTTTACTTGTTAAATATATGGAGAATATTTTTTGTGAACCTCAAATCATTCAATTTATACTTTTCTATTTTAAAAATCCGTTTTTATAAGAAGATAGGACAAAGGGACGAATTGAGAATGGGCTTAAACAAACAAGTTGAAGGAAGATAATTAGTCGGCGAGATAATTTACAAAAAAAAAAATTTTTTTCGCGCATCTCCGATATTTCCGTAATCTAATTAAGTATCATTTGAAACAAGAAGAGGAAGAGAGAGATATGAAATCATAATAGCTTCAACTTCTGGCGCAATTACACTTATGTGAGTTTTGAGCGCTTTAAGAGACGAAATTGTATTTTTTTAGCTGCGTATTTCGACATTTAGGAGATAAACCACCTCCTTAAAAAAATCAGTTTTTTTTTATTTCTAAGCTAATACCAACGGTAAAAGATATAAAAAGTGTTTCAAATAAAAGTTATATGGTTTGAAATGCTTATGGTTTTTATTCGTTACAAACATGATGATTGTGAAAGAAATGTTTTATACAAAGAGATTTTTCTTGTTGATTTTCCTTGATTGGCTCTACTTTTTTTACTTGAAACATATTTTCTTATTTTTAATTTACATAAATGTAAATTATTTATTGTTACACAATTGTTACACTATTGTTCTACAATATTTAAATATATAAAAGATAAAGATTTTAATGTCTAAATTTTAATTACTTTTTATATTTAAATTTTTATATTTATAAATATATAAATTGTTATAAATTTAATTATCAAATATATATATACATATATATTTATTTATATAATTATAAATTATCAAATATAATATACATACATAGATTGTAATATATAAATTTTTTATCGATAATTCATTCTTCTTGGCAGATATCGAAGGAAAGACGGTTATCGAGTGTCTGTCAGATACAAATAGAACGCATATAATGTCATTTCTAGTTTATTTCTGATAAATGCGTTGTTGTGGAATACAACTTGAAATTTTATTTTGAAAGTCTGATCTAGTCATATTTTAAAACGACACAATATCTGCAAAAATATTATAAATGCGTAAAGACTAGGTATAAATTAATTTAAAAATTTTTAAATCACATTTATTTTAAAATTCTTTAAATGACAGAATATTATTTCAAATGCTTCAAAAAGCAATTTTTTGCGTAATGTCTTCTAAATATATTTTTCGCCAAGTTTTTGCAAAGTTCCTTTTTGTACGATGTGTCCATCAAATAAAAAAAACAAAAAGTTTATGTATAGAAAAACTTACCTTTAAGCATATCCTCTGAAATTGCTTGCACGTGGAATTAAAATTCTCAACGTCCAGCTAATAGTTACGTTTTTCAAAATTATTAAGATAATCTCGGTAAGCAAATCCTTTATCGTAACTATTATTTATGCGACAAAAATATATATAATAAACACAAATACAATATAAAAACAACTTGCAGTTTGAGTTTTTCTTGATGACTCGATTGATTTTCTATGCACTAACGCACGAGGCTTAGTGTGTCGTGGACAGCCATAGACTGGGAATGACCAAATGCCTCATAAAGTGGTAGGGACAAAGGAAAAAGATAAAATAAATATTTCTTTTATCTTTTATTCGTGTTTCCACAATAATACTACTTCGGCCGTACCCTGAAAATTTTTAGTCTAGCTTTTTTATTAGTGGGAAAAATTCATTTTCTTTTGTGTAATTTTCAGGTCTCGTTTTATTGTTTGCATTATACTATAGACTATGAATTATCTGCGTCATAAAATAATAGCAATTTTTGCTTGCACCTAAGTTATTTCTATTACAACTTCATGAATTCTTTTTCCTTAATATTAAATTAGAATTGTTTCTATTTCTGCAAAAAAATCTAGTTATAACTAAAATTTCTCAAAATTATCTTTATTTTGCTATGTTTTTTATAATATTCATAGCCATAATGAATGTATACTAAAAATCATTTTTTTCTGTTTATAAAAAATTGAAATGTACAATATATTAAATATGACAGTTAGTCACAGCGAAACTTCCAATCAATATTATGAAATAAAGGCAGCAATTATTGTTGAAACTCTAAAGAAATGTGTTATTTATTGTGTGTGAATATATAAATGTGTGTGTCCGGGTGTGTCTTTGTGTGTGTAAATATTTCGAAATTATTATAATGTTATTAATCATACTTCTTTGGACATCCAAAACATTTTAACACATCATTTTATCACATTTCCTTGTCAGAATATAAGTTTCTCTAAATATAATAGTTGCGGAATTTTATAAAGATACTGCTTCTTTTGCAAGATACTCTAGATGATTTTACAATCATTATCTTCTGAGAGATGGGTATCAAACAAACCAATATTTTTTAATTTTAATCTGAATTTTAATCTAGGCCGTCGTAAAAATAGCAGACACAAAATACACACATACACATTTTTGTACCATCCAAAATATTATAATATTTACGATTACTCAATATTTCGCGAACGACTGCAGCATAATCTGGATTATGTTTTTCTAGCATTTTGTTTGGCACATAATGAGTACCTTTAAATTTACAGAAAAATTTTCCAATATCTGGATTATCTCTTTTTAATATATGGTTTATCCATTCCTTGTATGTCGATGTTATAACACCTAAAATAAAAATGTAAAGATAAAAAATTAAGTATCAAATTTATTATACGATGTAACATAAATAATATAAATAAAAATATTACAGAATATAGAAATATAATGTATAATAAAGCATTTAAAATAATAATTGTACATTGTGGAACAGAAAACACCAGGTTATATTCATTTAACAACACGTAGTATGGTTGCAATTCCCAATCTTCGATGTTATATTTTTGTATACATTCTTGTTTAATATCGTTGTGAGTACAATATAATCTCTTATATGCAGAGCATGGAATGTGGCCTTTGTTGTGCCACCCAATAATGACACCAGAAGGATTTATATATGTATTATCTCGCATTTTATACTTATGTGTAACTATTATTCCAATCGCATATTTTAGATTAGGTGATCTTTTTTTCCGAAACGTATCAGGTGCAATACATATTTCCTGAAAAATTAGTATAGTTAATGTTCTCATATAGATTACGTATTTTATATTAATGAAACAATTTGAATTAAAAATAATTATAATTAGTAAAATTTTTTAGTTTTCTTTGAACTAATTTTTTGTTAGCAAAAACTCTATTATTATTTTACATGAGTTTGCACGGGAACGGCCAAGCACCCAAACCGGCACTGTCTTTCTCGGACTCGATCCTAAGATTTTTTTGCCTATCATTTATATTAGTAGAAACATATAAAATGGCCGGATTCCGTAGAGTGCATATACACGCATTTATTTATAATACGTTACGTTTACTATAGATAATAAGTGCATATGCACTTTACAAAATCTAGTTAATAGTTGCCACTAATAAATATAAGTGTATAGGAAAGTATAGGGCTGCTCGTTACATATATGTATTTTTTCCCTTTTTACATTGTATATTTCTTTTATTTATTACACAGAATTTGTATGTTTTTGTTCTGTACACATAGATTGTTTGCGTTAAAAGTATGTTAAAATATTGCGGATTTTGTTAACACAATTATCTATTTTTCATTATTTAAATTGCGCGTAGATCGGTATATAATATATTACATACATTTTTTGTATTGTGCGTCTAAACATGATAAGTCATCATATATTAATTTCAAATTTCTGCTGTGAGAGTTCACTATCAGCAATATCAATAATATTCATCTAATATAAAAATGTATTTATTATTGTACATATCTGTTAAATGTACATATTATTGATATTGAAGAAAAGTTATTTATTATTAATATATAATATTAAGTATTAACAAATTAATAATATTTTATTAAATGGCTGTCCTTCCTGTACCAAAGTTTATCGTTCAAAAATAATATAAAAGCGATATAATATTTTGTTTTAAATATTTCTTAACACATATATATAATTATATTTTTCATAAAATAAAAATAAAAGCTAAACAAAATTTATTTAATTGTTATTGTTAATAAAAATTTACAATTAAAGAAAGATATCCTAAATCAGTCCATAATAAATCCAAAATCAATAATTGAGCAAGCTCCAAAGCTGGCTATATTTCGGACATTCTGTAGATGTACCAAATTGTGACAAATGTTTAACTAATGGACGTTCATCGAATATCCGATAGACCTTATTTGGATTGATTAAGAATATCTCAATGTCTAAGAACGAATATTCTCCGGACATACATTAGACATTTTTGTGCTGTCAGAGTATAAATATATTAATCTCCGCGAAATTGCCTTTTTCATAACTGAATGATAATTTATAACGCTTTTATTGATCATAACGTCTGTGTTCAAGAGGCTATATAATATATGTATCTCCAGAAGTCAGAGATATCGAAAAAAAACTTTTGGACGTTTAATAGTACTTATTATTGGAGATTGCTTAATATTGTAAATGGAAAAAAGAGAAAACAGGCTTTAACGAAAGTAATCAATGAAGAAGACAGCTCCGCGGAGATTAATATACTCATACCCAGATGGCATAAGGATGTCTAATGTATGTCCAGTGTACTCTTTCTAAAAATATTCTAATAAATATTCCAAAAATTGATACAACATTGGATCACATACAAACATTGGTACGTAGATATATATTCGATTAAATGCCTTGTGAATCCTGAGTCGATTAAACTTTTCCAATAAACACAAGCACGATAGTTCTCGCTCTTTATTAGCAATTTATTTCTCAAATAAACGATGTTTTGCTATAACTAAAAAAAAAAGAGAAAGAGAGCAAGAACTGTAGTGTTTGTGTTTATAGAAAGAGTTTAATCGACTCAAAATTCACAGAGCATTTAATCGAATATATATTTAGGAAAAATAAATGTTTCTGCCGTCAAAGAGCTGTTTCACTAATTACAGTCAAGTTACTGTCGGTACAGCTCGACGTAATCGTTCGCTATTAGTTTCTCTATCTGCTCCCTACGGTACCGCTTGTACACGTAAAACAACGCCATAAACACTACGAAGAGGAGCACTATAATGCATAAGGCGACGCTTATCCAGACCGCTCCAACTTCCTCGGTCTCTATCTTCTGCGGTATCATGGCCGAGCACTGGTCGAACAGCTCGTACGTCCGATTGCTGAATCTTACGTTGGCGCAGGTCTCGTTCAAAGCTGCCGGTGACTCGGTACATTTGTAGAGATCGTCTGTCTTTATCTTGATCTGCCGCAGCTTCACCCACGCGCTGAACTTCTGACAATCGCAGCTGCTCCCGTTGAATCTGATCCTATTACTGGTCAGGTCAAGGTCCTTCAGCGAGCAAAACGGCGCCAGATCCTCGGTGCTGATCGAGGTAATTACGTTGCCGGACAGGTTCAGATTAAGGAGGGTCGGCTGGACGCCTATGTTCGGGATCACGGATAGCAAGTTCCTATTTAGCTCCAGCACTCTGAGAGGCGATGTGACCTTTACCTTGAACACGGAATCGTGGAGCAGGTTACGGTCGAGGTAGAGTGAGTAAGATACGGCAATTGGAAGATACTTTTGGGCAGTGTGTACATTAAGTTCTTCGTGAGATTCAGCACCTCCAAGTAAGGCTGATTGGCGAAGGCTGCCTTGTTAATTTTATAGATGAAATTGTTACCTAGATTGATGTAGGTCAGTTTCTTGTAAGAATGCAGACTTTTATTCGTCAGTACCATCAAATGACTCCCGCTCATATCCAGCATCTAGCAAACAGAGAAGAAAAGTCAGAAAAAATTAAACGTATACAAAGTGAACGATTTTAATCGAGTCACGCGAATATTGTTTGAACAATGCATTTTAGAATGCTTCGTACATAAGTTTTTTAACTCGGAAGAGAATATAAGATAGTGTCATTAGTTTGATATTGAATAGTCGCTTGAATGTCACATAAAAGTTATTTTGAATTTCTTAAATAAGAGTAGCTAGAGAAATGTGCACTGAAAATAGGGGTTTCCAAAGGGTTAAAGAATTGAAGATGACCTTTAAACGACTATCCAAAGTCAAATATATGACCTGAAAGGACCCCGCCCGGTTCTTATGGAAAATGGGGTCCCGGTCAAATTGGCCCAACTTTTGATATGATGTAGATTTTGACTCACTGATTAAAAGTCTCAATGGTTATCAGGCCAAATAATGAATAGTTTTGGAGTTACAGCGGCTTTAATATCCAAAATTGACGCCGGACGATATCCGTCGTCCGGCGGTATAACGCGATGGTAGGCACTTGATATTTCATGTGTTTCATCCTTCTCAGAGTCTTCATTCATACTATTATGTGTTGCACACTTACACACCTATATACACGAATATACATATCGTCCTCTAATCATGTCGCTACCCAAACAGTGCGCGCGCGCGCGCGCGCGTATGTGTGTGTATGCGCGTGTATGTATATTCGTGTATATAGATGTGTAAGTGTGCAACACATAAAAGTATAAATGAAGACTCTGAGAAGGATGAAACACACGAAATATCAAGTGCCTACCATCGCGTTATACCGCCGGACGACGGATATCGTCCGGCGTCAATTTTGGATATTAAAGCCGCTGTAACTCCAAAACTATTCATTATTTGGCCTGATGACCATTGAGACTTTTAATCAGTGAGTCAAAATCTACATCATATCAAAAGTTGGGCCAATTTGACCGGGACCCCATTTTCCATAAGAACCGGGCGAGGTCCTTTTATATAAAAAATTATATTTAATAGAAACTTTTATTTAATAATTTAAAGTTCTATTATACTGTTTTCAATTATAAATTTTAATTTCCCATATTTAAAAAAAAAAATAAACAAAATTTTGTGGATTTTTAGAACTCATTACGAATCCCTCTATTTTATATATGCATTGTAAATAATATTAAAAAAATAATCACTGTATATGCAGTAAATATTTTTTTATAATAGATAAAAAATACATGACTATTGTTTTTATTCCAATTTTAAGTAATATATATTTTTAAACAACAATCTCATCTCTATGTCCGCCTTCAAATCAAACCAAATTTCGTGCAATTTTAAAATTGAGTAAATTTTATTATATTATTTTTAATTCTTTAAACTTAATTTCATAATTATTGTCAAAAAATAACACGGAGTCTCACGAATTTTTAGAAAACGTTATAGGTTCCTCCATTTTATGCGGATTGTATTAGAGAAGATTAAAAAAAGATTCTCGCGATATATGCAGAAAATATTCTTTTATAATGACAAAAACATACATGACAATTATTTTATTGCAATTTTAAGCAGAAAATATTTAAACGACAATCTCACCTGTATGTCCGCCTTTAAATCCATAGGGATTTTTTAAAATTTTCGATTGGAGCATTGAGCTTTCAGTACTAAATTAGCTATGCTGTAGTTGCACATTGTCGGCGGCGTATTCTTGTCGACAAGTTTCGTGGCTTTCGGTGAACCCAGCACCAGAACATCCGGTACCATGGCCATGATGAAGCACAGTAAGAAGAATTCGTTAATAAAAAAGATGCTCATATCTGCAACAGAATCAATGGAAACAAACGCTTATAAACGTTGCCCAAACTTTGCCGCAACCGGATAATTAATCCCTCGCGAAAATATAATATTTGATATTCTCTTCTTACACCGCCTCATTATCATTTATAATATTTTAGTATTACACAATATATCCCCATCTCTTTCTATTACTTTTTAAATTATATATTTGTTATATAATATGTTATATATTAATTTATAATTCACATATATTTTATTGTTATATATTATCAAGAACAGCGAAAGTAGACGACCAGACTGACTATGATTCAAGAGTTATTGTTGACACATTCAACCGACTATTCTGGTTAAGTTTCTACACTTAATACATCTAAATTAAATACACAAAATAGAACAATTAGTACTAAAAATTGATAGTAAAAAAAAAGTATAAAGATATTACACATATAACGCGATAAACCTAGGCGTATGTGGTATGAACATTACAATCAATCTAATTGATATGAATTTCCTTAAAAATATAAAAAATTATCGAACATTATAATTGTATACCGGCATGCAAGATACAAAATAAACAAAAAGAAACGAAAAGGGAACGGAAATGATCGTGCGCGTATGATATATAAATAGTAGACACTATAGTAGTTATAAAAGCGAAATGATAAAAATGTGTCACATTACCTAGAGAAAATTATTCAACTTATATACACCACAAAACTTTACTTTATTACACAGGTACGGTCAAATGAAATCGTGTGGTGAATCGAGAGACGATGTGTGTCGATCGAGAGTTCAATACGTACTAAGTTTCCGTGTTGGTATCAAAACAATAACAGTGAACAAGGGAGGTATAGCTGTTTCGGGAAAACTGTATGTGATATTAAGAATCAAATCGTATATTGAATTTTTAAATTGTCTGTGCCCTTCTGTAAATTCATGGAGTCTTTATGCATTATTATAAAGACCGTTTCCGCAATATCTTTTTTTATGTAATGCGTTTCTGTAGAATGAAGGGAGATTGCCAGTCAGAATCATAATGGAAAGTTATATATTATACAGACAAAAATCAATACGCAAAACAAATTTACTCTTTATTGAATTTTCGAACGTTTCGACCATTTTTCATGGTCATTTTCAATGTGGGTACATTAAAAAGCGAGTTAGATTCTTGTCTATATAATATAAATTTATAATTGCAAACGCCAGTTGTATGAACAAACTAAGTATTACCACTAACAATCGTAAGACACGGAGTAAATAAAACTTTTTAAAAAAACTGTTGCAAAACAAATCGCTATTACATCGATAAAAAGCACGCGATGACATTGAGTGATCGGCTTTCGAGGAAGTTATTCGACCGACATCAAAGAAATTAACGCCGACATTTCTTCATACATATATCGCTGTCAAAGGAATATAATATTGAGAGTGATATAATATTCGTTTAAATACGCAAAGAGTTTATCGAAAATTCCGCACATTTACATAGATTTTTATATAAAAATATGGTAATCATTATATGTACGCGAACACAATATAATAACATTGATAAATTTTTTATAAGTTAACGCGTTTATATTTTATGTAAATATATTAATCTCCGCGGAAGAGTCTTCTTCTACTCTCGTTAAAACCTGCTTTCTCATTTTTTTTTTTTTTTTTCATTAAAAGTCTAAAGTAATTTCCAACAATAAGTACCATTAACAGTCCAATATATTTTATTCGACATTTCTAGATGATAATTAATAACGCTTTTGTTGATCATGACGAAAACTGGTCAAAAGGCTATTAGCTGTTGCTGCTCCTAATGTCTTTTGCGCCGCCTACGGTACCGCTTGTATACGCAAAACAACGCCACAAAGACCACGATAAGAAACACCGGAATGCACGAGGCAACGTGTATCCAGACCGTTCCAACTTCCTCGGTCTCCATCTTCTGCGGTATCATAGAGCACTCGTTGAACAGCTCGTATGTCCGATTGCTGAATCTCACGTTGGCACAGTTCTTGTTCAGAGCTGCTGGTAGATTGGTGCATTTGTAAAAATTAGGCTTCATCTTGATTTGTCGTAGCTTCACCCAGGCGTTAAACTCCTGACAATCACAGCTGCTCGCGGTGAATCTGATTGTATTTCCGGTCAAATCGAGCTCTTTCAGCGAGCAGAAAGGCGCCAGATCCTCGGTGCTGATTCAGGTGATTTTGTTGTCGGACACGTTGAGATTAAGGAGAGTCGGCTGGACGCCTATGTTCGGGATCACGTGTATAATGTTATTGTTTAGCTGGAGCAGTTTGAGAGGCGAGGTCACGTTTATCTTGAATGCGGAATCGAAGAGCATGTTGTGGCCGAGATAGAGCGTGTGCAGATACGGAAACTGGAAGAAATTTTTGGGCAGTTTGAAGAGAATGTTGCGCGTGAGATCTAGCACTTTCAGGTAATGCTGATTGGCGAAGAGTGCCTCGTCAAATTCAAGAAGCTAATTGTCACGTAGATAAATGGCGACGAGCTTCTCGTAAGGATGCAGAGTATCGTTACTCAAGATTATCGGATACATTTTTTCGGTAACATTGAGCACCTAGCAAACAGAGGAGGAACGTCAGGAGTGTTATCAGAGATGTAACGTACACAGGGTGGGCGATTTTAATCTATCCACGCGAATATCTTTTGAACAATGCATTTTAGAATATTTCTTACAAAAGTTTTTTTACTTTGAGAGGAATATAAGATTCGAGCAAATTTTATTACAATATTATTTATAACTTATAAATCATAATTTCATAATTATTGTAAAAAAATAAAAGATCAAATGGAGTCTCACGGATTTCTACAACTCGTTACAAATTTTTCTATTTTATGCAAATTACAGATAAAATTAAAAAAATCCTCACATATATATATATATATATGTAGGAATCACGGATCGTGTCTTATTTCGGATAAAATAATAAAGTATTACGAGAAATGGTTTAATATAGGTATATTCAGATAACTTATCCGCAGTTCCACGTACTCTACGGCTTCGCGAAATTCGGTGCTCTTCTCCCGGAACCTCGGGAGAGACGCTTTATATCTTCGTCAAGCCCCGCGTGAGCCAATCAGGAAGCGACACATCGAGTGTTCAAATTCGCATATCTAATCCATCGCATGGCAAAACAAGAGTACAAAAACTGTCTCAAGACAAATACGGGCTCGAGACAATAGATCCGCAAGTCACAATAAATTTCGGCCACGACCGATTCGTCAACACGAGAAATAACAATATATCAAAACAACTTGAAATAAAAACGGACTTAAGACGATAAATTCTCGATTCCTACATTCGGCCATCCTGCGTTAATATCTGTCCTCAGATATTCTCCTCGGAAACCTCGTCATCGGTCGTTATTTCATCTTCTTCATTTATCCAACGCTTCATGTATTCAGCTGCAGTGGATGTCTCGTAAGGCCCTTCATGTACGCCCACCTTCTCGACGATGTAGCGGTCATTTCGCAATATCTTTTTAACTCGATACGGGCCCAAATACTTGTGCGCCAATTTTAACCCAGGGTTAGCCTGCGTTCTTTTGATAGCCACCCGGTCGCCCACTACGTAAGGCATAGCCGGCTTCCTTCGCTTGTTGAATCCTCGGCGATTCTCCTGCTGTGTCTGTCGAATAATTTCCTTGGCTTGACTCCTTATTTCATCACGGTTTTCTTCGAATATAGAAATTAGCTCTTTCTCCACCAATTCTCGGATGGAGACGTCGTCTTTCATCTTAATATCTGTCCCGAACAGTAACCTGAAGGGCGTCGTTCCAATGCTCCTATGTTGCGTGGCATTCAAATATTTCTGCACTGTATCTAAATATTTATGCCACTCTTCTGGTCGGGGGGCAGACAGCTTTGTCAACAGCGGAATTAACGTCCGGTTGACCCGTTCGACTTGCCCGTTGGCTCTGGGCATTCCCGTTGTGGTAAGGACATGTTGTATTCCCTCCGCCTTGCAATATTCCTGAAAATCGTTGGAGGTGAATGCGGACCCGCGGTCCGAAATAAGTCTTCTCGGATTTCCAAAAACATGCGACTGTTTTGTTAAGCACGCCAACACCTCCGCTGTGTTCGCCGTCTTAACAGGATAAAGCCATACAAACTTTGTAAACGCGTCTATTACCGCCAGTATATATCGATACTGTTTCCGCGTCGAAGGGAGCGGTCCCAGGTGATCAAGATGAAATGTGTCCAAAGGAGTCTCTCCCTTCTCGATGGGATGCAACAATCCTTCCTTCTTACCATACTTCCTTTCGGCTAGGATACACAACACGCAATTTCGAACAACTTTTTCGACTTTCGCTTTTAAGTCCGGAATCCAATAATCTTTCGCGACTATACGCTCAGTTTTACCCGCTGGCATATGACCTTTTTCGTGTACGTACCGGATAATTTGCGTGTGCATCGGTCGGGGAATCACCATTCGCTCTTCATCGCTAGTTAATTTATATAAAATTCCTGCTCGCATTACAAAGTTATCAGTCTTTTTCGCCTCCACCAGCTCAATAATTTCTCGCAAACGAACGTCTTCGCATTGAGCTTTCCGAATTCGCGTTATTATATTATCTTCGCACTCATTCCACATACACACAGGCAACGGATTTCGACTTAGCGCGTCAACATGCGCCATCGCTTTCCCGGGGCGGTGCTCAATCGTATAATTAAATTCTTCCAATTGCAGAGCCCACCTCGCCACGCGCACACATAAATCTTTTTTGCTCATAGTGAGACTAAACGCTTTACAATCTGTCAATATCTTAAAAGGAATGCCTATCAGATACACGCGAAATTTTTTTAAAGCTTTAATGACTGCGAGCTCCTCGAGTTTGTAACTGCTAATAAATCTACGGAAATAACCTGATAATCCTAGAAAACTCTGAACCTGCCTCACGTTCCTCGGCTCAGGAAATCTTGTGACCGCGTCCGTTTTTATCGCCGACGGCCGCACCACACCCTTACACATCCACTCGCCTATCTGTGTTTTTATTATCGGCTTCTCCTGTTCGGAACATCTCCGCGCTCGCTGATACACAGGTTCATCGTCCTTAAGAATTAATCGCATTTTTACATCTATATCGCGTATTTTATTCGGCGTATAATTTTGTATCATATTTTCTAATGTATCTCTATTTTTATCGTCAAGGTGCGCAATGTCAAATTTATTCGCTTCATACTCATAGTCGATCTGTAACACTTCAGGTATTTTTGACAATCCCTGATCCGAATTTGGCCTCAAAACTAGTATTTCATTCTTTATTAAAATCTCTACAGTTCTTAGAAAATCGGCTCCAATAATTAAATCATATCGCATGAGCTCATCGGAAACTACCCATATTTTCATTGAATACACGTTATCATCTATACGAACGTCGGCCTCGAACTCGCCTAACGTCTCATTACCGTCCGATCCTATACCACGGAAATAGATTTTATTCTCTTTTAACGGAACGTTCAATCGACTATAGCAATCCGCACGCATTAAGCACATATCGCTACCGGTATCTATTATCGCTCGGATATCGCAATCAACGATGCGCACGTCTTTATAATATTTTCTATCGCGGAACTCGCTCACCGCACAACTATCTTTAGTGCTCGTTTTTCCAGTGCACTTCGCCGCTACGTGCCCGCGCTCGCCGCACCGAAAACACTTCACTCCACTTTCTTTTGTCGGGCAATTCGCACTGATGTGATTTTGTCCGCCGCAATTATAACATCGTCGTGGTTTCTGCGCCTCGCCGTCGCCTCTCCGCTGCCTCGCTCCT